ACGCTTGATGAGCTCATTTTGGAGAAAAATACACATAAGGAATGAGATGGCTGAAGGGTCAAATATTACCTGTGTGGGTCGGAAACGTCTAAAGTCGCCTGCTAATTGTAAGCTCATTAAGATATTTAATCGCTGACAAAAAATCGATTGAAGGTTGATTACTTTATTTGCAGTATGCGGGGCAGTAGAAACACGCGTGAACGTGTATTAGCCCCACTGAATGCCCTTCTTAACTGCTTAATTTCTCAGCGAACAGTTTACAATAGAGACAATCCAACCGTAAAAACATCTAAATGTCATCAGGTGTATGCCGATGGAACTTGATGATTTCAATAAAAATCAAGAAACAGACAGCCTTGAAACAATTTACCCAGTGCGGAAAGATCATAAAACGAATTCAAGTAAAGCTCTATCTCCAGTTCATTCAGCCAATCCAATTTTTATTCGATCTGCGCCCCTCTGCCGCTACCCTCCCTCCAAGATTTTTCTCGTTGATGCCTCAGTCCATATCACTACTTGACGTCGGGAAACGGCTATGTTTTATCTGCCGCGATGCGTTGATCATCCAACGAAAAGCCACTTGAGATTCTGAGTTCCCGGCGTAACGGCTATAGCTTTCTGCCGTCTGCTCTATTGAGATCTATGCCACTACGGCTGTGGTCCCTCACAGAATGTTTGCACATTTGTACGCGTGTTGAAACCGTGTGAGCTGATCTAAGCTAAACTGAGCGACGTTTTTACTTTCGTCATCGTCTTCTTGCTCTTCCTCCTCTGAGGCCCAAACCCACGGGGCCCGAACCCGGGGCCCCATCGGTAGTGGGGCCCCCAGAGGCCGGATCTGGGTGACGACCCAGTTAAGTTTGGTTATCTGGGTCGACCGCAGGGGCCCCTAACGGGCCTCAGCCGGCTTAGGTGGCACTGAGTTGAGCCGGGGGCCCGCAACGATGCTGCTGTTCATAGACAGCAACAGACAGTTGAACAGGCACGCAGGCCTGCTTACTACAGCCAAACGACGATAACAACAGCAGCACTGCCGGCTTTAAGGCGCCTTTTTGGATGAAGAGCAAACAGCAGGCCCCCTCTACCAGCGCTCATCTTCAAGCTTGACTGGCCACGACACGGATTGCTCAGCAGGGAAGCCACAATCGAAAAAAAAAGCGCCAGCAGCGTTTGTGGCACCGTCGCCTTTACGGTGCGGTCCTTTCTTACTCCGCCGCGGTGCACTGTGCCTGTTACAATATTCGGCGCGTGCGCGACAGGTTGTGGTTCGCGTCACCATATCTGAAACACTGATGCACTACAGTCAGACGGGACATTTTGGGAAGATAGACGACGGTTTTGCAAAGGGTGGCGAGAAAAAAGTGCGCCTAAGTAAGCAGACGAGCCGAACAACTCCAAAAACAAAGCACGGCTTTAAAAACAACTAAGCGATCAACCCGCTCAACTACTGGCTCAGACGTTTTACGTAAATCTGAACTGTTTTAGAGGGGGTGCATTTTAAGGATTGTTGAACACGTGTGAGACTATATAGATCCATTGGAATTGAAATGCGGGTAAAGCAAGTTCGAATCATGTAATATAATAATTGTACAGGCCATGGATTTTTGTTTCTTCGCTTCTCAAAGACCTAACGAATAAACCTTTCATTAATTAACCGCTATCATAACAATTAAACATTGCAATAGCTATAAAAGTGATAAGTTAGAGGAGTTAATTTCACAGGAAAATTTGCGTCCTTGTTACGAAACTCAGAGTATAAGGCAAGAGATCACCTATTGAACGAATATTTGTCTACTGAAAGCTACTGAACCCTTACAAAAGTACCATGTTTCCAAAAAATAACACGCTATTATCGGTAGCGTGCTACCCCTTTTATATCAAACCCCAATAAATCCTCTTACGTTATAGAGAAACCTTCCTTAATTTGCACATTAGAAATATGTGAAGTATGCTTTTTTATCTTCTTTTCAACTAAAACTACGTGACAACGCATCACTACTGTTGAGACCTCCATCACTTCCTGCACCCCCTTTAAAGCAGCCGCTCGCTTTCGTATCCGACAGAGCCATCCGAAACTTGCTGCACGGTCATTGTGTACAGATTTTCTGGAGCTTAGCAGACATCCCCTAGCGACGTCCTTGCAAGGTCATCCGTCGAGAGGCGCCTCAGCATAGCGCCACCTTGTCATCGGTGACGCTCCAGTTACGTTTTGCCGCAACCCAGATCTGGTGCCCAAAAGCTGGGTCACCACCGCAAGTCGCGTGCGAGAGGCACCAGCGCTGGCATCGCACCAAGAAGATCCGGGTTGCAAAAGGCGCTCCACAAGCGGACGCAACCAACAAGAAGCGAAGTCGTCGCTCCTGCTGCGTTGCAATATTCTTGATACACGGATGGCGAGCAGATTTTCTTACGGTGATGCGCTAGTGTCAGGGCGCCAGCAGTTTGCTCCGAAACCAGTAGTTTCGGGCTTCGAATGCGCGGTCAGAAGCGCACTGGTCGACTCACTGTAGATAGAAGTCTTCCTTTCGCAGATTGGATTTTGCTTCATCGTCCAGCCTTGACTTCGGACCCTAAGCGGTTGTTGTTGTTGAGATCATTATTTTCACGGAAAACTGGCTGCTTGCTCATCTGTTGATTACGGCGCTTCGTAATACTATATGTGCGTTACATGTCTACACGTTATGACTCAGTCCTAGTAATTAATCCTAGTTGTGTAATTTTGTTAGTGATAACATGAAGGCGTTATTGAAGCAACAAACATTGAAATGCAACCTTGCCGCGGTATGTGCATAGTCATGCTACAGTAGCATGACATCTACATTCGAATTCATTACGTTAGTTAACAATAACAAAGTGCGTGATTACATGAGTTTGCCCCTTTGTGTTCTTTGGCACCTAATTTCACCTTTTTTTTTTTTTAACTTCTGCTAAGTCTTTCCACCCTAAAGTAGACACAAGGGTTATGTCTTAGAACTTGAAAGGCGGACATGGCCAAAAGAATACAGGACTTATGTAGTCGGGCATCATATTGAGAGCATGTCGTAGAAGGTTCGGAGTGACAAAGAAACAAAAGTGGGAGACAAACGAGCATCACGTCAGCTGAACGATGCCAGCGCAGCGGCCAAGTTTGCCAGACCGTGTCAACTCCACCAAAATGCTAGCGCCATGAAATCTGACGAAACAATAAGTCAAGGCCGAGGAAGGCCACGGTCGCCGAGGCAGTTCCTGTCGGCACCTCTGCTCCTCTGTACTTTCCTTGAAGCAACTTTTCGTATCATTCGATTCGCTTCAGAGGAGCGTGCAGGTCAGGGGCTGGGTGCTTTCAAACCTTCCACTATTTTCTCATTATTTTTTAGCATACGGAATCACATTTACAAGTGAATGCACTTTTCGCGTTAATCATCGTTTACTGCCTGAGCCGCCACTCTGGCTGTTTGTAGGTGCCTATTGCTGGCCCTTACCAAATCCAGCCAACCAGTGTACCGATAATAGAATACGGTGCCAGAAGATGATCTAACCTGTAATACCATACGACGCAAAAATGGCGATATTTGCGTTTATTACTGCAGTATGGATGAAAACTATGCTATAGAGGAGTTGGTAGTGACAATTTTTTTCCGTTATTCTTACGGACGTTTAATGCTGTGTGCACTTAAGATTCTGGTTAGATGTGTGTATGGAGCCGCAATTTCTATGATGCCTTTGTTCGAAGCGGCGCGTTATCTACATTCTGTTGTTGTCGCCACTGGCGTTGCCGGTTGTTGATTCGGTGTACTGATATATGCTATTTGCATAAAAGCCATTTGGCAGAGGTCACTGGTCCGTATCGAAAAATCATCTTACATTCTTCCGCGCGTCACTGAGTGTTTTTGGAAAGATCATAGAGCGGCACTTGTCGTTTCCAGGTTAGAATTGTACGGAACCAGCCGCCTGATGGAATACCTGATGGCGATATCGAACGTAATTCTCGAAACACAGATGGTTAGGATCGTACAATCGGCGAATTAAGGCTATAGTGGCCCTTAGGTCTTCGTAGTTGCCTCACGGGCGAAATAGTTGTAGTAAAGGTTCCGTGTGAAGGACAGCATCGCAGTTAAGATCACTAACTGTTTCGAACTTTACATTTAGCACCGCTGGCCATTTTATCAGATGACTCCTAGCACCAAAGGAAGTGTATCTACGTCCGGATTCGAACCTAGACCATCACGTATCCCTGACATTAGCATGCAGATACATTATTGCTAAAGTTATTACGGAAAGAAGCTACCCGACATGGCTGCATAACAATATGCCTTCTATTCTATTGGTATTTTACGCTATAACCGTTATCAGAAGCAGGAAGTGAACTATTTAAACTAGCCGGAACTATTGCTATATATA